ATCTTTCATATCCTTCCGATGAAATGTTTAAATTATGTTTATATATAGAAACCCTAATTCGAAATTCTTTAAATTGAATGTACAAAAGTTCATATGAAAGCACGATTCTCCGAAAGTTGAATGACTTGGGACTTGCACATTTTTTTAGATTAAGCCATTTCCAGCAATTTGTCCAGCACTATCATGACCTTTTCAACTTTGTCACAAAAATGTATTTAACAATTAGAATGCACCATGAAGAACATAAAAAAAGCAAAGTTGATAAATATGTACACCACTTTCACACAAAAATTGTGCTTTTTAAACACCAATAATAAATATATTACATTTAAACAAATATTTCATTATTGCTTTCTAATTTCCCATAATAGCTCTAGCCAACTGTTCTTATTTTCAGTGAATTTTATATGTAAAATATATTTTTAATTTTTTTTCTTATTTTCCTTAAACACTTTGTATAACTAAAATAAATAAATAAATATATAAATAATTCATTACATTCATTAGTTTAACATAAATTGTTTATTATATAATTGTTTCCCAACAATTTCGAACACACGGACTTTCATTTGACGTTCAAGCGATCAAGTTTGACATATCTCGGCCGCGAAATTACCCTCGTATGCCCTCATACCATAGAACATCTTTTGACACTTTTTTACTTGAGAAATGTATGGGGACTAGCAGTCCATGAAATTGTATAAGGTCTATGATTTTGACCCATTTTTATGATGTAAATATTGAATTATTGATAACAACTGCGCTTTTAATAAATATTATTAACACGACAATTAATACACGAATATTCGTTTTCAAGAAAACATTCAAAAACGTATTTCCTTGTATAAAAAATACACCTTTTGTTTGAACAATGAAAAAAAGTATTTTCCACTTTTGAAATATTTCTATGCAAGGATTTTTTTTACCAACATTTGAAAACACATTTGTAAATAAACCCGTCACAACAGACATTTTTAACCTGAAAACAACTGTCAATTTTGACGTTTGACGTTTAACCTTAAACAATATAACTCAATTTTGACGTTTAATGTAAGAAATTCATGTTCATTCAATTAATCATTGTTTTGGGCCTGAATCAATATCATAATGTGTTGAAACAAATATTTGTTTAGAATTATGCGCAACAGTTTGCCAAAATATTTATGAATTCATAAACATGAGCCACTTTGCCTTAAAATTAAAATATAAAACATTATTTTGTACTTACCTAAATCATATTATCACACAAAACACACTTTAACTTTAAATCTATTTACATTTATGACTTGTAAATTTATTATTATTACAAAGACACTTGTTCAACCAACTTCCAGGCAGCAATGACTGTTGATTTATTTTAAAAATATTTACAACAGAAATTAGCCATAGATCATAGAACATATATTTATATAGACTGGTAACATAGTTTTTAGTATCAACATTTTAGCAGCATAGCATAATTAATAAATCAAAATTTGTAAACTTCAATAGGCACATAAATTTATTTTGTTAAAATTTCACAAACGAAATAAAAATATTATAATATAAATAAAACGTACAAAATATTCCTAACATCCCTCTCGACATGGATTACTTACATGCAAAAATGTATATGATAGAAAAATTTTAAATATTTAAATTCGCAATAATAACAACAAATTTATATTATTCTTTCATTCAAGTCATGACGGTAGATTTTTTTATTTTTTTAAATTTTATTTCATTTTATTGGCCTCGCTTACTTGACCATTTAGCCACCTACAACATATTTCAATTTCAATACAATATTTCAATTTCAATACAATATTTGAATTTCAATACATACTTCATGTTAATACTTCTTATATAAACTCTATTCTTCTATCTATTTTATATTCTATTCTATTCAACAATAGTTCATATTATGAATAACATAATGTAAAAACTAGGAAATTATTTGGACTAATTAAATTCAATTATTTCATTTATACACACCATCCCCTGTCTTTGACCACGTCATTGAGATCCATATAAATGACCTCGACCATATTATTAAGGGCAGCAGAAAATCTTTTTAAAAAATCCGTACAATATCGAGCAAAACCCTTTCATGGGAGCACATGTACCACGTGACTATAATAAATGAGTGGTACATCACACATGATGGTATTGAGAAAGACAAGAAAGTAAAGAATGTGACGAGGGAGGAAGTGGGAGAAGGTAGAGGAAGAAGATAGTAAGTAAGAAACGTAGTACTTGATTCAATTAAATTTTATTTAATATGTAAAATATAGAGTACATAATATCATATATATGTCAAGTGCAGTGGTTAAAATGCCGCACAAGATGCCGGAAACACCAAGGCATCGGTAAAGGCAGTTCAAATCCACGTTAAGGTATGCCAAGGGACTTACAATATTTTTTTAAAATTTCACTATGCATACAAGATATGCAGTACATAAAAACTTGTCTTTTCAAGTAATCCGATGGAGCAATGGTTAGCGTGCCCGACATGGTGGACATCAACTTCGAAGCAGTTCTAATGCCGGCGGAGGCGACAAAATTCCAGCAGAAAGTTTCAAGCCAGATATCACTGGAGGACGTGTTGGCAGCCACTAAAAATTTGTCAATGTGAAATCTGCGGAAAATCAACACAAAAAGTGAGGATTATTAGATATAGCCTATTCAAGCTTAAGACATAGCTTATTTAAAAGACTACATGCTCCCTTTATGCTTATTAGAAAACGAACATTCAATAAAAAAAAATTTAAACAAACCTCATTTTAATATTACCTCAACATTGAGCAATAATTTTGTGAATGTAAAGTTTTAAAACAATATTTTTAATATGTGCTTTAATCATTATTACTATCTTATGAATCGACTGTAGTCCAAAAATATTCAAACTGAAAATGAAGAATAGGAATTGGTTGATACTTGTAAAAATCATGGACGTTAATCGAGTTATAGTAACCGACTCATCAGGACATTATTAGTTAAAATATATTTTTCATGAATAATTGGTCAATTTTTAGCATAGAAAATTTTAGAACTTATAGCTAGCAATCTAAAGAGAATATAAACTTGCACATTAGACAAAAAATCTACCTAAAACTAAAATAATTCGTAAAATGCAATTATTATTTTCAAGTTTTTTAATTTCACTTAAAATTTTATTTACATATACATAGCATATATTCATATCGAGGTTTAATTTTAGGATTGCATGGTTATGCTAAAAATATAACTCTTAATATATATCTTTGATTTGTGTACATCTTTACCGATTATAATTTCTTAAATATTCTCTAGTTGTATGTATTACATACTATGTAAGCCACAAAGTAATCTATAAACAATTCCGAATAATAAAATACCTTATATAAAGCAGATTATATATATATATATATATATATATATATATATATATATATATATATATATATATATATACGTATATATATATATATAATATATATACATATATATATAGCAAAACTTTGGATTATAAGGTATGAATAAACATATGGATAACAAAATTAACACTTAAGCACGAAATTTTTTTTAAACAATAAATTTTGAATTTATTTGCCGCCTGTTGTGTATTACATTTATTATTATAAATATTAGAAATTTATAATAGAATATCAACATTTGCTTTAATTTTGTACTCCAACTTTAGTCGAGAATTTGTTTAAATATTTGCAATATCGGAATTTTGCTGTTTTTATTAAAGTAGACTTTGTTGCTTTGATAGATATTTTGTACTAAGAATGATATGAAAAGACACTTCTTTCACATTATGTTCCCTCATGATTTTAATTTCGGAAAATATTTTATTATCTTTATATTTAATGATATAAAAATTAATAGTTTGATTTATAACATTACATTTTAATTTAGAATACAAGCTTTACATTTAACATCACAAAATAATTATATATACACTTATACATTTTTACATTATTTCTGCACATTTACATAGATGTATATATATATATATATATATATATATATATATATATATACATATGTGTTAAATCTTCTATGAGGCGTAAAATAAATAGAAAAAAACATATTTCACACGTAATTGAATATTATGCAATTTTGCCTTGCCTCAAGTATAAGGCTTCATTTACTTTTGTTAACATTATGACGAATTTTTACATTAGCTAGATATTCAAATTGAGCTAAAATCCTTCCCTTAGTCTCAATTGCAAATTCGCCAAAGCAAAAAAAAAATTAAGCAAAAAAAAAATTGTTGATAGTCCAGCTATACCATCATCTCTGAAAAATATCTGGCATATATGAATGAAAATCTGTTCAACTTTTCGAACATAGATCGACAATTTTGATTATATTTATAATTTTATATGTATTCTTGATGTAGTGTTTAGATATAATTTTAACATAGTAAGTATAAATATGTAAATGTAGTTTATATAAAAATATGTTAAATATATACAATGCATGGTTGTATATATATAAATAAATATATATATATATATATATATTCATATATATAATATATATATATATATATATATATATATATATAATAAATGATTTACTTGTATACAATTCAATTTAATCTATGTAATTCAAATTATAATCATGTTAAAATTAAATACTAAGTAGTATGAATTTGTAAGTAATGAGTTTGGACTCACATAAATATGAATTTTGAATACAAGTTATCATTTAACATCATAAATTCAACACGCATGATTAATTTTAGAACATTTAATATATACTTGATTCTAATTATTATAGGTATATAAATAACTATGTTCAATATATTTTTTGATTAAATGCAAAATCAGTCATGACATAGAATTTACTTAAAAATGATAATTGCTTTTATTCTAAGTTTTGTTTTTGAGATATATGAGAAAGAATTGAAAATGACAGCAAATTTATCTTATATTATAAACAACCATTCAAGAATATTATTACGGATTGACTTTTAAACTATCATTTTTTAATTTGTTTAAATAATTTTGAATTTATAATAAGCTTATAACTATATATACTATTAAAATGGTACTTATTCACCAGGAATACACAAATTTACTAATTAAGCATAGCTCTGCGACTGTTCCAAGTTGGGTATATGTCTGTTACCTTTATCAACCCAGTTTCTAAGCCTGCCTCTTAATTCTTCCAAGCTTTTTGATTTGGCTTTATTTATCCTTTTATATTTAACATCTTTCGGTTTAATCACCGATCTGTGATTCGACATGACTCGATTATAAACTGTGACTTGAGTTTTAGGTGACTGTTCTTTTGGTAATTTATCTGATGAGTTGTATGTCCAAGTATCAGAATCATCAGATTCTTGAGCAGCTCTTTCGGTGTGATTTCTAAACCCTTCCCGTTTTTTCTCGGCGCTAGTTTTCTCAGTTCTTTGAGAATCGAGTATACCACTAGTACTGGCCGACGATTGCTGCTGCTGTTCAGTATCTTCTTCCACACTATAAACGGTTTCCAGGACTTCTGGACGACGTAAGTAGCAATTGGATCGTCTCGAAGACGCATGTTTGAAACCGTTATCTATGGCATCTGATATTGACCTGGCAATCGTTATCCCGTCACCAGACATACTGCGATATTGTTTAGCGTGAGGATGTGGTTGCCCAAAGCCGATATCCAGGTCCAGATCTTCCATGACCACTGCTGAATCTGAATCGTTTTGGGAATCGAAATCCTGAACAACTCCAACGGCAGTAGATGATTCTAGACCATTATCGATTAGACGTGCTGTTAATGCGTCGATGACACGTTGTTGGCGGGATATGGTAGCTTCTTGACGCGACAAAGTTGCTGTTATCAGTTTCTTCTCGCGTCGCAGCCTTGCTTCGAACAACAGGAGTTGGGTAGAGAGCTTCGACACTTGAGAATTTTTCTCATCTACTAATTGCTTCACCAGTAATTCCTGAAAAGATTATATTATTAGCGTACTGTATAGTGAGTTATAGTAATGAGCTAAAAATTGAAAACGAAAACTTTGCATATTGTTTTAATATTTCTGGTTTTTATTACAGTAAGTACAATAATGGCTAAGCTGTTCTATAATACATGATATTACACATTTTTAAATAAAATGCTTAAAAATGCCACGCTCTAAAAATGAATGAACTAGTGGGGCGCATGGCATCGTGCCTTAAAGCAAATTGCTGGAACTTCCCGTACCAAAAAATATTTTTTTAAAAAAGATTAACATTTTTGAAAAAAAAATATTCTGAAAAAAATAGATTTTTGAGAAACTATAAAGTTTTGAAAAAAATTTACTTTTTTTTGAAAAAAAAAGACTTTTTGAAGAAAAATTTATTTTGAAATATTTTGGAAATTCTGAACTATTTTTCAAAGCAATCGTACTGCTTTAACTGCATAGAGACGAAATATCGAAGCGCGTAAGCGACGCATCCCCGTCTAACGGATGAACATTGGTACAAAACCCCTAAGAATGTAAACAAAATTTATACTTATTGTTAAAATCTCTATAAAATATCTGATAAATTGATGTGCATATGTCTAATGATCATTTTTAACCGCCAAATGGCATTTTTTTTACTTTTTTTACTAGATCTCCGAAACCGCTGGACCTGCCTTCACGGAAATGATCAGTTCTTCATCTTGTTAACAAAAGTAAAATGTTTTTTGAATTATTCAAATCGGACGCTCCGTTCCCTTAAAAACTGAGTTACCGTTTTTGGCACTTTTTGTCCCATATCTTCGGAACGGCTAGATCTGGCTTCGCCAAAAACTAATCAGCATGTCTCCTTATCAATACGAATCGAATGTTTTTTGAATTATTTAAATCGCTTCATCCGTGCTCCCAAAATCGTCGACGAAAATCTGTATCCGAACACACACACATGCATGCACACACACACACATTTTTTTGAAGAAGGTTTTGAAACGTAAAGATATATAAAAATTTTCATTTTCAATTTTTTTTGCGATTACTATAACTTATCCTACGGAAAGTTAAAAAACAATTATTTTTTAATGTTTGTTATTTTTATTTACTAGAATATTTAACAATATTTAAGACATATTTAAAAAATATTTGTTGAAATTATTAAAATTATTACAAATTTAATTTAAAAGATCATGGTTTTTACCCGTAGTTGGCTAATAAAATTAATGAAATTAATAGACAGGTTTAGTGGTTACGGAAATTCAATGAAAAAAATGAAAGATAATACTATTTGGCGGTCAAAAATGATCATTAGACTATAAATAAATCATTTACTATGAACATCAAATTATAAGAATTTTATAGAAATTTCAATATGAAATACTTTTGTTGACATTTCTTTTCGTGGGAGCCGTAGCAATATTTATCCGTTAGAATACGACACGATGCGGCGCAAATAGCTACGCAGCGCGATTGCTTTGCAAAAAAGTTCAAAATTTTCAAAAAAAAATCAAAATTGTTAACTTCGTTCGTCTCTAATCACTGGTTTATTGTCTCTAAATATACTCTCTACAATATTCATCTCTACATGTCACTATTTATCTCTGACAATACAAATCATTCTTTTGCTATTCTCTATATATGTCATGCTATCCATGTCAAACAAATATAAAAAAATCAAGTATTTAAGAAAAGTCTTTTTTTTTCAATAATTTCAAAATTCTTAAATCTATTTTTTCAAAGGTTTCAAAAAAATTTAACGCTTTTTTAAAATTTTAATTTTTTATACGGAAAGTTCCGGTAATTTGCCTCAAGGCACGATGCCAGGCACCACTACTTTTTGTATATATTTAATATTATTTCATTAATCACCTGCGCCGCGTGCGCTCTGCGCCAAGCGTACGTTTGCTGAGCGTGAAACCTGCATTTGCCTCGAAGTTCCTCGACTAGACGCAAAGCATCTTCTAGGCGCGTTTCTACATCGCCTTCCTGCATGGCGTTGCTCTGTAAATATAATTAACAATTAATCATTTGCTATTTGATTATATAATTAAACCGACTTCACACGAAATCCATTGCAACTATATACAGGTAACCCCAGCCCAGACTAACACGAACCTACTATAGCACATATAGGAATTAGGGCTAGAACAATTAAATAAAAGAGAGGAGCAAAAAATATTATTTACGTTCAGAATCAGCCTCACACGATTTAAAAATAAAGCAAAACTTGAATAAAATGAAAAATTTCGTAAAAAACTATACCTAATGCAAACTATAACTATATAACTAATTTAAAATTAGTGGTAATAGAACTGTAATGGGAATAATAAATAGGGGAGGAGAGGCAAATCATTTTGTGGTGCTCTCATGGCATGGACCTACCTTCAGGCAGACTACTATTTATTATTATTATTATTATTATATTGACCCTCAGGATTAAGCCGGTCCTTCTTGTCAAGCATCAAGTTATTAGCAAGAAGCAAATATATAATAAATATTTTCTAGCAAGTCTAAAGGACAATTGCTATTTCAACCTCACAAATTATTAGAAACTTTTATAATGAATGAAAATAACTGTCAACATAATATCGACAACCGGCTTCACAAAAGGATCACCTATTCTATCTTATCAAAATCGGCGCTATACACAATATAAATTTTTAAATAAAACATTTTAGCATGGAAAATCGATATAGATCCAAAGAAATCGCAGTCAACGTGTATGAAGATCTATCAAATGAAATGAGAAAGTTTTAATTTTGGAATTTTGCAAGAGCTTGGCACCAATCGTAAGAAGAAAGAAAGTCATTAAGTTAAGAAACTTAATGAACATTTTTATAATTTTTTATGAAATTTTAATATGCAGCATGTTTTTTGAATTTTTGGAATGTAAATCTTTTTACAATTATCAGATAAATGCAAGATATTTTATCAATATTTTCTCCAAAATTCTTGATTCAATTTTAAAAATTCAAAAACTTTTCGAAAAATGTCATTATATTTGTGACTGATATAAATTCGGTTTTAGTAAAGTTCTATTTTATAATTAATCCTACAATATCATAGGTCCACAAAAGAAGTTAAAGAATCTAAAATTTTGGTTATCTCATAATAATTACCTCAGAAGATTTTTTCCTGTGAGGACTATCTCCGTTTTCACTGACCGAAGAGCTTTCGTCCGGCGGAGAACATACTTCTGCGCCCTCACTAGAAAAAGAAAACATTGTTTGAATACAATTATTATAATAATATATAGAGGGTATGATTCAGCATCGAAAGATAAAAATTAAATTTATTCTTAATATATGAGGCTTTTCCTTGGTGAAAACTATGGAATTCTACTCAGAAGACCCAAGTTCGTTATCACGAGCAGCCTAATGACAGGTTTAGTGACAAGGGTTATCACTTGGAAATATAATTCCAAGCAAAAGTATCCCTTTTTAAGTGTGTTATCACAATTAGCATATCTAAAGTATGTATGTATGTATATTAGGGTGGTCCTTAATATGGACATTTTCGAATTTCCTTGCACCCAAGGGCTATAGTGGTTCCAAATTGATAAAGAACAATTCTCTGAAAGTTTTACATCTTAATATTATCTTTTAGATAGAGCGCAATTCAATCAAAGTTTTGTATGGAAATAGCATGAAACATCTTTCAAAAATTTTGCAGGGCGTCGAATTTTCAATAAAAAATGACACAAATTTTCACTTTTCATTCATTTGTCGCTAAGTTATACCTAAACATTTTTTTTGTAGTTTTCAAAATTTTTTCCATGCTATTTCCATATGAAGTTTGATTGAATCGCATACTATCTAAAAGTTAATATTAAGAGCTAAAACTTTCAGAGAGTTTTTTTCATCAATTTGGAACCATTTGAGCCCTGGAGAGCAAGAAAATTCGAAAATGTCCATATTAAGGACCACCATAATGTATATGCATGTATATATATATATATATATATATATATATATATACATAACAATTGATAAGAATCTGTGATGTCGTTTAATAAGTCCATTTCTTCTGCACATTTTACCCTACTGCATTATTTTTCTGTTATTCAAATGGCTTTATGTAATATATTATTCGTGCTACTATGTAAAGCTCTGTTTACTTTTTCTATCATTTTGGAGACCTTTTTAAATTAGATTTTGTGAATTCGTAACTTCCATTATATTCAAACCGAGACGTAGACGCATTAAAAGTAAGTTTTGCATACGAATATTCAGATATTTGGCGAAGAAAAGGGATGACAAAAATTGTAGAAGAATTATTAAAAAATATTTTACTCAAGAAATAAGGTGAAAACGAAGCAATTTTTGTAAGTGTTTATTTTTTGTTCACATATAAATTTTTTATTTTACATATACACGGTTTACGTATATTGCGTAAGTTTACCAATTCTGGTTATTTTTTTAAAAAAAACATTTCTTCAATATAAATTTGATTATTATGAGAAGCAAAATTAAGTATGGTGGTCATAGACCTTATACTAAATAAGGTCTATGATTTAGTTATAAGGTCTATGATGGTGATCCAAAATTATGTTACTTCGATAATAAACAACTGTTATTTAAAATAAATCCCAAATAATTATTTGGCGGCCAAGCTCGTCATTATTTTCAAAATTACGTCCATACAAAAGTTCATTAATATAATATTAAATATTTATAGAACTCCAAGCATCGTATAATGATGAAAAATGGCGAAAACACAGAGATACATTTGTTATGTGCATTTAATAATATACTTGTTTTTAAATATTCTTCTTTTAAATTTCGAAATAGATCTGTAACATTGTTATAATTTCTGCTCATATCTGTATGTGTAAATGTATGTAAAAAATACATAATCGTATATCACAAGTAAATGTTCCATTAAAGAAACATGATAAATAATTCAAAGAAAGTTATCGATGGAGTATTCAGGACCTTTCACAACGTTTCGTATTATATTACTGGTAATGAAAATTTAGGAAAAGTAAGGAGAAGATAATGGAAACAGAATGCCATTCTGATATATGTATATATATATATAAGTGTACATAGTATCGATATATTTTTCATTTAACCAAATGGAAGTATTTTTCAAACATTACAAATACATTTTCAAAGGCAAGGATACTGAAAATACTTTACAAATGTAGCTATTTATATTTTCTACATCGTTTTTCCTATTTCTGCACGTAGAGTTTTTACTTAGAAGATATTTTAAGATGCAAGTTTTCTGAATGGGTCAATGAATAACTGTGTGAATAGATCTAGAAATACCCACATTGAAGTGCAGCTCTATTTTGTAGAGATGGTTAAAACACAGAAAATTATCAATGAAGTATATCCCTTGAAATTGATATGTATGCAAAACTAGAACATGTTTCTAAAAATATCAATATAAGGAAATCTAATCGTGACGGATATACTCGCCAACACACAATAACCTGCCAATTCTCCTTGATGAGTATACTCGTCAACGACCGTTAACTGGTAAATGAAGTACCACTTTGAGATACCTATTTCCGAGAAATTATAATGTAATTGTACCCCCATTACATAATTCCAATGTTTCTACATATTTACTACATTAGTAAGTTTATTATATTAGTAGTTTCTACATAGTTTAAACTATTTTTTTTATTTCTACGCTGGAATCATGTAAAAAAAAATTCTTATTTTTAAAATTTAACTATTTAAAAAAATGTGCACGAAAGGATTTTTTAATTGAATTATTTTTGGAGAAACAGCTGCTTGACCATGATAATCCTCTTCTGTTTACTTCCTTTTGCGAGACTTCAAATGCGTTTTTCTCAAAATTGTCTCTTTTAATAAGATTTTCACTACTACTATTTCAAAAGTAATAGAAGAATTTAAAAAGAACAAAATAGAGAAACTCAAAAAAGTGATAAGAATATGATCTTAATTTTTCAAACCGACCCATTTTATCTGTATTTATGTTACGTAGTTATGAAATTTATTAAAAGTCTAACGACGATAACTCAGGTTTCAGAGTTATAATTTAATCCACTGATTTGCTTTGTATTTGTATGTATTTGTTGCAGTTATGACAATCACTATTTTCTCACTAGTATATAAGTTATAACGAAAGAAGTTATATATATATATATATATATATATACATATATGTATATATATATATATATATATATATATTTATATATTTATTTATTTATTATTTATCATACATGTTGTTACGCGTCAGAACAATTAGTCCCATCAAACACTCCTCTACCTCCTCTACCAGGAGTAGCAACCATCCCGTGTAAAAGCTCAATGCCATGAAGATTGTCACCTTCATGGCCAATATAATAAAATGAAGATACGTCTGAACATTATCAAAAACTTCCCATTTCATCAAACTGATATATGCCATTGCGACATCATTCTATATAACTAATTCTTTTTTATTTGGGATTTCTTGGAGGGTTGCAATAGTGGGTATGGTCAAGTGAGTCTACTTCAATTACTGATAATTTTAAAAAAAATTAACTTTTTTATTTTTATTTTTTCTATACTTTTCTGTAAGTTATTATAAAAATTATAGTAAAAAAATTAATTGCCTTTTTTAAGATGATTATTTGATAATGACCTAAAATTCATGCTTCTACACTAAAATACCCCCTTAATTTTATAAAACTGGTTTAATACCAACTAACAAGTAAGATAAAAACAAATATTTTAGGATGAATATACAAGTACATTCTAATAAAAGTGTTAATGAAGAAGATGATATATTTCTTCGAACAACTATTTTTAATATTTAATGACTGATAGAAAACTGTGATTTCACTCAGAATTTTCTAGCTTTTTGCCAGACGGAGTAAACTAAATTCAAAAATAGAGTAAGAAATCTGGATTAGTTAACAAATAGTAAAATTTGAACTAATTAAGAAAGATCTAAAAATATAATTTTATATTTGGTTAGGTTCCTCTTACACCGAAGCTTATTTGTTTCTCTTACTGCCTACCCACAATATCTCTTCATATTTCAAATAAGTATATAGTTTTATATATGCATAATATACATACATGTATATAATTATACACATATATTTATATATATATATATATATATATATGTATATATTACATTTATATAGAACGTGAACATGCATACATCTTGTAATATTTGAATGGAGCTTTACAAATAGTATGAAAACCATTAAAGCTTCCAGATGCTGCCAGGCGCAATGATGCACAAATGTCTGTGTAATACAACTCTGCACATGATTCGAACAAATATTATATTTATATATATATTTATATATTTATATATATGTATATGTATATACACACAAGTAAATCGAGGTATTTCAAATTATCTTACAAAAATTGCCTCGCCCTCTTGGACAAATTGCAACTACTTCTGGATGGTCGTGCAAATCATTATATAGCATTTTGTAACTATTTAATTATTTCAACTAAATATATAAACTTTCAAATAAACTCCATAACACTAGTAGTATGATTAAAATATTTATTATGAGATAGAATCCTCAATCCCTTGATGATGTATTCCCATGCCCGAGTTATGAGAGTTGCATCTGAATTCAAATATGTAAATGAAATTCCATATTCCATATTCCACAATCCAGATTGCTGGTGTTTATAGCAAGTGCTAATATCAAACGTGGTGACTGCTATGAATATTTTATAGCACATATATGTTATCAAAGAGAAAATCCATAGATGTGAAATTGGGTATAAACTTTCTTAAACTAAATTTTACTTTGTCTAAAATTCAAATTAGGTTTATAGGTGGGTTTATATCACTAATTAGAAATATAACTATTACTATAAGTAATAGTATATAAGTATAGTAATCGCAAAAAATAAAAAATGAAAATTTTAATATGTCTTTACGTTTCAAAGGTTTCTGAGTATTATGGCATACCTTAGAAAAAATGGATGTATGTGTGTGTGTATGTGTGTGTGTGTGCGCGTGTGTGTGCGGATGCAAATTTTCGTCGACGATTTCGGGAACACCGATCAATCGATTTGAATAATTCAAAAAACATTCGATTCGTATTGATAAGGAGACGTGCTAATTAGTTTTTGGCAAAGGCAGGTCTAGCCGTTTCGAAGATACGGGGCAAAAAGTGCCAAAAATGGTAACTTAGTTTTTAAGATAACGGCGCATCCGATTTGAATAATTCAAAAAACATTTTACTTGTATTAACAAGATGAAGAATTGATCAAATTTTCATAAAGGTTTCGGAGATCTAATAAAAAAAGTAAAAAAAAATTCCATTGGCGGTCAAAAATGATCATTAGACATATGCACATCAAATTATCTGATATTTTATAGAGATTTTAACAATAAGAATAAATTTTGTTTACATTCCTATGGGTTCCGTACCAATGTTTATCCGTTAGACGGCAATATGGCGCTTACGCGCTTTGACATTTCGTCTCTATGCAGTTAAAGCAGTACGATTGCTTTGAAACAAAAGTTCAGAATTTCCAAAATATGTCAAAATAAAGAAAACATTTTTTTTTCAAAAAAAAGTAATTTTCTGTCAAATTTATAGTTTCTCAAAAATCTAATTTTTGTGAAGTAAAATTTTTTCAAAAACGTTAATCGTTTTTAAAAAAATAGTAATTTTTAGTACGGGAAATTCCAGCAATTTGCCTTAAGGCACGATGCCATGCGCCTCTCTAGTTATATATATCAATACATAATATATACAGGATATCCCAGAATTTAATGTCAAGCGAAAATAGGCTGATATTGACCTTAACTGTCCTGAAAATACTTAATGAAATTATGAGCTTTTAAATACAACCCAGAGCTTTAGTGAAATTATGACTATTTATACGTTATTGTGGTTAACTTTTGTTAAATAACTAGTTAACTTTTATAAAATGGTAAAATACTTGAATAAAATTGTAATTTTATTATTGGAAATTTCCGAAAAAAGCTTGCACCTATAAATGATATAAACAGATTAATACAATAAACTATTTTTTCAGTTTAATGCTTCGAATAATCATGTATGCACAATTATGTATACATTCATCTAACTTAGTGTTTTATGAAAATTGGGAATATATTTCCAAGCAACTGCTATATTTGGTTTATATATTTATCTATATATATATATATAATATATATATATAATATATATATATATATATATATATATATATAGATATCTATATATATATATATTATATAAATTTTTCATAGAAATTTCATCTTTGATGTGAATCAAAGACTGTTGCATATACGAAAACATGTAAGGGTTTCTGTGAAATCTCGAATATTGACATAAAAGCGAGACATCGTAAACAATATTATTGGTATATATATATATTTATATTAGAAAATTTCAAGAAAGGAACGCTAAAATGAATGAAATGGAGATGAAAGAAAGGAAAATATCGCAATAAAGATCCTTTCGTTTCATATAAAAAATTAATAGTGGATTTAAATCTTATCATACGTTTGTCGTAAAGTTTGCATTGAATTCAGAAGATTTTAGATGCTATATATTGTCAAATGATTATTTTTATTACAAGATAAAAATAATAAATTAATTTCAACATTTCATGACTAAGTATAAGATTTACTTCTCACCGAACAAGCTTAAAATTCGAAGAAACATTAAATATAGTTTTAAACTTGATATATTGTAATCATATTCAATTTCACTTATTACGAAATATTATTTTAAAAATTATCAAAATAACTTTTATTACACATACTAACTTTGAATTTCATTTAACATACAAATCTATGAAGTAAAAGATTATCATTTACAAAAATTATTGTAATATAACATGCAAATGCTAAAATTAAGGATCATCGTCTTTCCAAATAGGTTCGGCCTTGTAATATAGGTCCAAGGGCAAATTTCTCAAACCACCAGGTCCATCCACTACTTTAATATTTTCAACAACCAACTTAGCAATCAAAAACTTCTCATTAAAATTTTCTTCCAAATGGGGATGGCTTTCCTTCAAAGCACTCCTGGCAAAATCGAATTCCTTACTCTTTAAATTTAATTTTTGAGTTCTTCCCATTAAAATCACTCTGCTGCATTTTGGTTCCACGGTGTCAATTCCCAATTTTTGGCAATATTCTGTTTGATCAATAGTCACCGTCAAAGCTGTTCTGTTATCTATCCTTAAATTTTCTAATATCGGCTCATTTTTTTGTAAATAGAAGTACGGAATACCTGTACTTTTATTCCTGGTTCCATCTGCTATAGATTTTATACTTCCAAAAACAGATTTTGAGAACTCGGAATCAACACATAGTTTTTTTGTTGACAAAAACGTAACAACAGTTGCCCAGTTTATATTGTGAATCATGTATCTGGCAACTTCTGCAGTTTGCTTAAGGCGTTCATCATTCTGTTCCAATTTTTTACCAGTTTTGAAAGCGAGAGTGAAAAGAATTATAAAAATATTTAAGAAGAGTAGAATTCTCAAAACTTTTTCGTGCTCCATAGCATTAAAATTTCTTTATTGACACAAAGAAGTTTCGAACATTGAGGAAACGTGTATAGTACTCAAAACAACACCATTCAAAATTCATATTTTTATCTATTGTAATTGTTATTCAGTCACTTTAAACCCGTTAACTTTAAGACCAGAGTCAAAATGGCACTATAAATATAAAATATAAAAAATATTAAATTTAAATTCAACAAAGTATTTAAAAATATTTAGTATAGAAGAAGTCAATTAATAAAGTGGTATTAAAAAAGTAATGAAGGGTATTAAAAAATGGGGTATTTAAAGCTTCTAAAAAATACTATTTATACTATTTATATTAGGCGAGTTTCACATATTTTGCTCATATAATTGTATGGAAACATTTGTTCAACAAAATTCACACAATTTGTTCATAATGTTGAAAGATATATTTCATTTAGTTACCTAGTTTCTAAGTTTTAGTGTTTTTTACGGCAAATACAGTTGGATTCAAAATACTAAAATTATGTCAAGTTGCATGGTATAGGTAATCAGATGAAATTTTGTAAAATAACATATTGAAAATGAAACATAACTTAGAAAGTAATAGAACTGATCAAATTTTAATATATTCTGAGAATAATAAATCATAAATATTTTTATATTATTCGTCATATGCAGCATTGTATATGTTTAAAATAGGAAAATAAAAACACCATTTCCAGTTTTTCTATACCAACTTGAACAAAAAAACCTACTATTATTACAGAATTATAAATTATTCTGTGGTATAATTTTTTATTGCAAAATATATATTACAATCGTGGGTAGTTTTGCTTCTGTGTTTAGTTATCTAATATATTCATTTATTCTATATTGATGATGCATTGACGATAGTTCTGTAAAACTCATGTTTTAATGACAAAATAACAAAATTCTACTATTCACAATTTTCTAGAAAATATTGTCAAATAGCACAATCTCTTAACTGCTCTCAGAAATGAAATTATTTTATATTTATCAAGTTAATATTTGAGAGTAAGATTTTTATAAGTATAACATAAAAAAAATTCATTTTGTACTCGTATATATCTATATATTTTTTCCAAATTTCCTTACTCTCAGGTTGATAAAAAACATTCTTTGAAAGTTGTAGCTGTTAATGTTAACTTTAAGATAGTCCGCACTCCAACCAAAGTTTCTATAGAAATAACATGGGTAAAATTACAATTGTTTTATACCTTGGCGACATGTGTATTCACATTTTGAAAATAAATTGTATTTGCTTATTTTGATTATAAAAAAAACTTGATATTTCTTATAAAATAAGTAATTACTTAGGAAGAAAAACCAAGAAACTTTGGCTAGAGTGCGGACTATGTTAGAGATTATATTAAGAGCTAAAACTTTCAGATTTTTTAGATTAGATTTAGCATTAGAGCCTCTGGGAGCAAGGAAATTCTAAAACGTCCATATATATATATATATATATATATATATATATATTCAATAGATAAGTCCTGGATTTTTTCAATATATTGATTGTTTCTTTTCCGAACAGTAAATCCAATAATAAAAAACAATTTGTTTTTTGAAGATGTTTAATACGACGTTTCGGAACTAGGTACGTTCCATCATCAGGTTTATTCTGTCAAATACAATGTATTTTAAAAAAATACTAAAATTTAAAAAAATGTTATAATATATGTACATCCATATATGTGCTTATATGTATGTTTTTGTGTGTACACTATATACATGCACTTGCATGTATGTTCATGTATATAATTGTGGATACATTAATATATAGATATGTGCATATGTATTTATGAGTATGTAGGTGTGCATGTACATGTGCATGTATATATGTATATATATATACATAATATTTCTCAACATTTACTAAAGCAATATTTCCTCTTTTTTCGTAAATTACCAAACAAGAGCCATAAAAAATCATTTTTGCCAAGAATTCCGTGCATTGTCCTTTACATCTGGCAGACAGAAATCCATATCAGTGTGTTTAAGTCTTGTGTAGTCGTAACATCTACAAATATCTTCCAAAAAAATCGAGTGTTTTTAACAAAAAATATTAGTGATATGGATATATAGATTATTACAGGTAAATAATTTTTGCTTCTCAATTTTATATAAAACCTTTTTTAGTTAAGTCTTATTACTCTTTACCCCGGTACATAATCCATTCCTTTATAAAAATTTTTTTCTAATTAATCTGTATTGACCATCGTTAATTAATGTTAATCAATATTTTTTTAAAATACATTGTATTTGACAGAATAAACCTGATGATGGAACGTACCTAGTTCCGAAACGTCGTATTAAACATCTTCAAAAAACAAATTGTTTTTTATTATTGGATTTACTGTTCGGAAAAGAAACAATCAATATATATATATATATATATATATATATATATATATATATATATATATATATATGAGTAAGTTCTTCAAGGGCATACATCAAATAAAAGGCAAAGATTTGACTACAGCCTCGGGCTCGGTCAAATAAACTACGTTCTCTGTGCAAAATATATTATATATTTCACAAATATTTTACTATGCTCTGTTCAACAAAATAATAATTAAAAAAAACAAGTTAGTGTATATATAATAGTGCAAAATTATGTGCCTTGCGCTAGCTACTGATGTAAGACCATATTTATATCCACTGATGATGACATAAAATACTATGTCGAAACGTTTGGAAAAATTAAAGATTAACTTCTAAATCTTTGCCATTTATTTGATGTATGCCCTTGAAGAACTTACTCATATTTCTCAACATCAAAACTAACTTCTCTAACATATATATATATATATATATATATATATATATATATATATTTACACATATATATTTCTTTGTATCATGTCTTCTATAGGAGAAATGAGATGTCCCGATCAGAATGGGTCCAAATTCAATGTGCCTAAATATCGATTTGGAACATCTTTTGTTCAACACGATAATTGAATTTGAACATAAGGCGGAATGCTTGTCAGGAACATAGTTATTCCTTTGATGAGAGTCTTCAGATAAATGAAAACGATTCTCTTCGTCAACGATATTTGATTTCAAATAGATCTAAGATGCTATAAATACATTATTCATACAATCAAAGTACAATAAATAGAAATTAATTAATTAATAATAATTTCCAAATCGAAGTATATTAGAAAATCACACTAGAAATTAACATAATTAAGTTAAAAGGTAACGGACCGTCTTCTACCATAATTCCATTATAAGTAATATTGCAATATATATTTTCAAGTGAAAACGAATGTCACTGCTGCTTGACATCAGGCTGTCCGAGACAGGTATTTTGAGACCAACAACTGATCAAAGTACATAACCCTTACCACCAGATTACGGGAAAGCTCAGTTTTTTTCATATTATATATTATATAATTATAAGTATAAAAACATTTAGTTTTTATGATTTAACAAAATGCTTATAAATATTGGCAAATTATAGAAGAGACTGGCTGCAGTTGTGCCTTGGTACAATCGTCATAACAGCTAAATTATACTGATTTTGAGATAGGGTTCAAAGAAAGAAAGATATATGTTTGTTCGAACAAATTTCCAATATTGCACTGAATCAGCGCTTTAACAGGACCTGTAGACCGCATTAGAGATTTAAAAAGTAAGGTTTTTTGGTCGACTTTTTTTGAAAATAATTGTTATTTGTATACAGATAGATCACTGTCTTTGTCATTTTTCTGTAAGTTGAACATCAGTAGTTAATTACCAGCAATTAATTTTTGCGTAGATAATTTAGCTCAGCCATAACGTTGATTTGTTTTTAAAAGTGTGTGTTGGGTACGGTTGTGACAATTTTTTTTGCATACGAAGAAAAGAAAAAAGAAAAATTTAACTTAACTAGGACAAAATACGAAAGAGGAAAGAAAAGGAAAATTCAATACTAGAAAAAAATAACTTTTACAAAGATCTATTATTAATTATGATAAAAAGTTATGTTTTGTTATATATTGTTATATTATATTCATGAGCTTTATTCTAATGATTGTGTTGTGTTAACATTTTTTTCAAGTATGATCAAGAATTTGCTAATGTTCAGGATGGAATAGGAGCTAATATTAAATGGAAAAATCGTATTAAAGGCATGTATTTAGAGATTTTCACGCATACAAATGTCTAAATTACCACTTAATTTACTTTTCTTCCAGCTAACTAATTAACAAAATTATTGCTAATCAAAAACAAAAAAGAGGCAGAAGCGCAACAAATCTCCCCTATTCATTCAGTAAACGTTTCTCAGCGTTTTTCATCGCATACTTATATTCATTCAAAACTATTTTCAAATTGTTATATTACATTTAGAAAAAGTGTACTCTTAATATGGTTTAAATTAAGCAAATAACAATAATTAACAAATAAATAAACGTTTTACCTTCATTTTTACCTCCCAAAATCATGTTACTGCGAAGAAGTGATTTACCTCCCAATTGTAACTCATTTATTTATAAACATAATCTAGAAGATAAATTCTGAAATTATATTCCGCGTGACATGCGTCTATATTTCATGCTTTCGTGGAATTTTGCATTTTTTAACATTCAAGACGAAAACATATAGTGGAATAAATTTTTTCGTTCGCAACCGAGCTTATATGTAATACCACAACGAATTCCACGCATTGTTTCGCTTCTGCGTTATTTATTTAGGACAATCCCGTATTGTACGAACACGTCTAACATAAATCCTTTTCTTTCTATATTTAATTTTTTTGAAAGGGGTTTGGTGGATGAAAGAGACCAGTAACACCTTACTTTGTAATTTAAATAAAATAAAATACACACCAAATACACCAGTAATTAAATTATCACATCAAATAAACCTCAGTTTATATACATATATAGTTTATTCCATCCCTTGGATATGTTTTGAAAATCGATAAAAAAATCTGATGTTTTTGAAATACTTCACAAAAAGTAGCTATATTTGTGTAATTTTCCCAAACAAATGTACCTTGTATTTGAAGTAGAAGTAACACTGGCTACCTGTACTATTGTCAATTTATTTGTCATATGCAATCTAGTCATATTATCTTTAAATTGACTAGATGTCGACTAAAGACAGTTGTAAATTATATAACAAAATAAAAAAATGCTTGGGTTATTTTATTGTCCTCAGGATGATTGAGACATGCATAAAAATAGGTTAAGAAACAATAGGTATGAACAGCAAAATGGTTTATAACGACTATCTTTGTCAGAAATAATTAACAACACAACATAATCATTAAAAAAAAACATATTATTTTAAACAAAGTTAACAAGAACCTTTGTTATGTCTTTTATTCTTTGATTAAATAATCTTTTTCCTTTTCTTTTCGTATTTTGTCTTAGTTAAGTTAGATTTTTCTTGATCTGTTTAATCTTCACCCGAAACGAACAAGACCAACAACCACGTGTCACTACCGTACCCAACGCACACTTTTGAAAACAAATCATCGTTATGATAGAGCTAAATTATCTGTGCAAAAACTAATTTCTGGTACGGATCATGTTAATTTAGGGCGCTAACTCAATGCAATAATGGAAACTTGTTCAAACAAACATACTGCATCTTGCTCCCTTTGGACCCTGTTTCAAAACTTGTATAGTTTAGCTTTAGATTAATTATTATATCAAAATTAAATCCTTAGAATAAAATCCAGCTAAAAAAGGAAATCCACATAATGCTAAATTAGCTAATCTAATAATTCTTCCTAATATAATTATTATATTTCTTATTCCACCTATTAAACGAATATCTTGAAAATTATTTAATAAATGAATAATAATTCCTGAACATATAAATAATAAAGCCTTAAATAAAGCATGTATTAAAAGATGAAAAAAAGCTAATTTGGGTATGTTAAATGATAACCTTCTTATTATTAATCCTAATTGTCTTAATGTAGATAAAGCAATAATTTTTTTTAAATCAAACTCATAATTAGCTCCCAATCCTGATATAAATATAGTTAATGTAGAAATTAATAATAAATAAATAAATAAATTACTTTTTATTAATAATTCTCTAAATCGAATTATTAAGTATACCCCAGCAGTTACTAAAGTTGAAGAATGAACTAAAGCTGAAACAGGTGTTGGAGTAGCTATTGCAGCTGGTAATCAAGAAGAAAAAGGAATTTATGCTCTTTTAGTTATTGCAGAAATTAAAATCAAAAATATAATTAAAGTTATCTCAAAATTATTTATTATATGTTATTTGTTATGACGACTGTCCTGTCACTACCGTGTCCTGTCACAACCGTACCCGATTCGCTGTTTGGAGCAACACAAAAAAAATTTTTAATTTAAAATTTATGTGAAAATAATTGCTTTTAACCTACCTCAAAATCAGTATAGTTTGCTGTTTAAACGACTATCACAACCGTACCCAGTATTTCCTAATAATGTGATTTTTACTGGACTTCAACAGGACACAATAAATGTTTAACAATTTTTTTCTTAAATTCGATATGTCTATGATGATCTCATACAACTTCAGTACACTTGAAGATTGATATATGCTACATGTATAATAAAAGTCACGCTTGATCATCAGTAATAAACTTTATATGCCTTTTCAATATTTTTACGACTCCGAGATTTTGCACAGAGTCCGACGTTACGCGTCCTTGATAATTTTTCATCGGCCGTAAAAGCGCTCACGGTTTCCGAAAGAGTGCCTTTGAATCAGATTTAAGATCCAGGGGAAGATTGTTCGCAGATTTTATCGCCTTTTACACGTAAATTCAAGAAGAACTGTCGATTGTGCGGTCGACTACGCGTCGCCTTCGGCGGAGGAAAACGGCTTCACTCTATATGGAACCGACGAAATTTTATTGAGTGATATATTGTTGAAAGGATTCTTTTAAAATATAGAATAATATCTGCAGTATTCGTATAAATTTATTCTATATTAACGAAAGATAGATACATAGACATTATTCAGGTTAGAAGCAAATATCAACTAAGATTTGCTTTCATTATTAACCCTTTCTCTACAAGGGTCGCCTATATGTGTACAAGTATTGCCTATAGATGACATTCGTATCTGTCCGTACGGGTACCGCCTTTTAAACTATTAAAAATTCTCATAAATTATTGTAATTTTCGGTTTTTCTGGAAGTGTATTTTATTTTAATAATTGATCATTTTAACTTTTTTTTAAAAAATGATTAAAAAATCAAAATGTTATTATGCCCTTGTTCAGTCAGTAGCGCTGAACTGTTCCATCCCAGAAAGAAGCAGCTGACGTATATCGTCACAAGCTGGATTACATTACAAAGAAATCTGGGCTCTCATAGTGACAATCATATTACATTGCATCTTGCACAATCTTTTGCATTTTACTTGGACTGCCAATGCATGATGATGGCAAAATAGTTTGCTTTCCAACGTTGGTTGTATTATCGCCATTCACATATGAATCGCTGTTCCTCTCTTGTAGTAATTCACACATTTATAAAATGTCATGTAATAAGTAAAGGCTTGTAACATTGCTTTTTTGGTCAGCACGCTAGCATGCTGGATATCAAATAGGCAAAATGGATGAATTGAGCGTTGTGTGACAGGCCTACAAAACGAGCGTCGTGTGAAGAAGGCTTAAGTTCTACTTACAAATTAGATGAGATAATATTTTCACTTTGGTATCCAGTCATAAAATAATATGTTCACTTTTGCTTTCATGATATTTTGCTAAAATCGCCGTAAAAAAACTGGTTTTTGCGGCCTGATATGTGACTGATGCAATCAGAGTCAAAATGACTATATCAGTTACAGAGCTGATATAAGAAGAAAACTATAATTGAAATAATATAGGAAAACAAAAATAATAATAATAGTTAGTACAAATCATAACAATAATTATAATTAAAAGTAAAATCATAATATAGTACTAAATTATTACTGTAAAACTGTTCCAATAAACAGTTCACTATGTTATGTCAAGTCCAAAGGAATTTATTTCTTCAACCTTCTAGTAGAGGTGCTTTAAGATGATTTGGATGGTTTAAACTTCTGCCGCTAATTACGTCCTTAATAAAAGGAATATTGAGGTCGTCATGGATAGCTTTATTACTGACATACTAAGATGCGTCGGTGATCTGCCTTTAGACATACTGGCGCAACCCCAAGGCTCTATACCATAGGCCCAGATGGGCTTTATTACATATTTATATATCAATAACTTGTTGTCAAGCGATAGGATTGATTTTCGCCTCATTAGCCAATTCAGGTCTGCAATCTTCTGTTCGATTTGTTTTATTGGTGCAAAAATAAGGTAAAAATAATTTTAGATGGTGATTATATGTCGTGCTAAAAGGGTATGGACGTGTTTCCATACAGTATCGGCCCCACCCTGGTATTTAAATAATTTTGATGCCATTTTATAGATATTTTCGAAAAAATCCGATATACCAAGTTTCAAATTCGTAGCTCATCATTTGTCCGAGATATCAGTGAAAACATGTGAAAGGGGCCCCTTTTTTCGAGCTCATTTTTTGTCAGAAATATCAGAGATATCGAAAAAATGTTAATGTCATTCTATTTATACTGATCTTGTCTATGTTGTCATAACAAATATTATGAAAAAATTATTTGTTAGTGCGTGAAAAGGTGAAAATGATTTTTCATTTTCCATTTTCTACCAGTGCGGCTTTTTGGACTACTTGTAAATTAGCATCATTCGAAAGCCTGAATTGATTCAAAACATTGAGTTTTTTTAGCAATAATCACCAGCATATATATATATATATATATATATATATATATATATAGATGATTTTTTTATTACAATTTTCTATATAATTCAGAAGAGTACCAAGAAGTTACGACGTTATAGCACTCTCACAAGTTTTATGAAACGCTTTCATTTAAATTTGTAGTAAATCATACCATCCTATAAAATCATGTAGATTTACCCTACTGCTGGTGTCTATAAATAATATTTTTTTTTTATTGAACATAATAGTAATACTCTTAGCATTTACAATTGCATTATTTTACATTCCACATGTGTCTTCGTGACCTTTAGAAAGCTTGTCGTGATCTACTGATTTAGAATATGGTGTACATTATACATTATTTATGCTGCTCAGTCCGAGAGTCAACCTTTTTAATGGTCGTTTTTGCACGATAAATTCCACGACCATAAAAACCAAAATAACTCCCAAGTTTTACGTTTACTCTGTCTGGTCGACTCTATATATATGTGCTATGTGGCCGAGGCGACGGACTATTCGTTATGCATCGCGATTATGCAAATTAATGCATTAATGCAATATGTACAGTACCTTTTATTCGATGGTTAATTATAATATTATGGACTTGTAAAGTCTTCATTTATTTGCAATCCAATGGGAGTAAATATTATTTGATGTGTGATGCCAAAAAACATGAGGCCATTGATTGATTGCTAAGAGGTTTTCTAGCCTAGAGGAATAAATTTCATACTATATTTTAAAGAGCGCAAAAAAGGCAAACCATATCTTTACTATACATTTCTACAAGTTAGTGATTAATATTTAAAAAACTCAAAAAATATAGTCAAGAAGTTTCAATTCTAGAATGTGGTGAAGTGCAGAGTGCCAAAATATTGGCACCTGACTATACCCCTAATTTTAGCCCTACAAATAATCTGAATATCTATATATTTACCTATGAGCCTAGAAAATAGGTTCCCAAACTTTGTCTCGAACAACTCGCCTTTTGTTTTTTGTCTTGAACTTTGCCATGGATACCCCTACTTACACGTTATCGATTTAAACAATTTATAATTGCACTTAAGTTTATTATTAAAAATTTGAAGTAAAAATACATACAAATTTTATACAATTATCAATTAAATTAAAAATAATAACAAAGCTGAAGTATTGTTTAATTATCAGCATTTGTCAACGATTTTGTAAGGTTTATCCTTACATCTCCCTTAATGATGTCAAGCCTATATATTTTTCTGTTAAAAAATTAGTCATATAGTCTTTTATATTTAGTATCCATATCATATACTAAACATTCTTTCTTCTATTTATTTTGCAACTATTAAATCGTCTTCTATCTTCAGTATCCATAAATACTAACACAGTCTCAAAAAGAGCAAAAAATTTCTCCAAGCCTTTCAAGGTCAGCAAAAAGGGTCTTTACGAGCTCTACCATATTGCGACTATGATTCAAATGCCTTTAATATTTTATATTTGATATTTTTTCAGTATGTTATAATATATAATCAGGGCCTTAGGGGGCGCCAAAACCAGATTCGGAAATAAAATTTATTATATAGTTTTTTCAATATCATTCAAGAAATATATAAGTTCTATGCAACTTTTACTAATCTTTAGACAATATTTTTAAAATTGGTTAAAAATTTAAATTTAAAACAATAATCGCTAAAAAAAAGGCATGCGGGCGCTGGTCACCCCAGGACTGACCCTGTATATAATTATAAGCATTTGGTGTATTCATATGTATATATATATATATATATATATATATATATATTATATGTATATATAGATATATTATTCTGAGAAAATTTTGCAGTTTTGTTTAATTTACAGTACACGTATATTTGCTTCCGTTAAGTAAATAATATATATTATCAAAAATGAGTATTTTTTTCCAATGACTCTTATTAAGTATTGCAATTTAAATCGCATGGTTAAGTGCATTAAGACACACGATTATAAAATCATTTCTAGCTAATATTCATATTCTATATAATCTAATTGCAAATCATCATACGTTACATAAACGATCTATCGACAAAAAGATTCTTCTAACATCTTCTCATCTAAATGATGAAAGTTTTTTGTAGTACGTAATAAAAAATCGAAGGCGCCTCTCTAGATATGACATTCCTTTATTAATAGTGAAAGTTATTACTTGTATTTCCTGAAAATCGCCCACAATGTGAACGTGAAGTATCGAAGATGAAAGATAGACTATTCTTACGATATGCTAGAGAATAGAAATGTTAAAATTCGTTAAATGCAATAGAGACAAACTTCTGGTTTTATAAAATATTAGTGAAACTTTAGTTTATTATTAGAAAGTTATTGTTAGTTGGTTAATAATAAAATGCACATTAAAAATTGTATTGCAAATAGACTCAAGTATAGTGTTCTTTTTCTTCAGTTTTTTAATAATTCATCGTTGGATACATTCGATAATTTTCTTTGTTTCAAAAGTTCTTTGAATCATTCAAA